TTGGCGGGGTGGGGGGAGGGGGGGTGATATATCTCTGAGCTGCCAAAGTTGTCCTCTACCCTGAAACAAAAGTAATTTGGGGAGTGTGAAGTTACTATATGCCCTCGGACTTATGCAGGGCTAGCATCTGTCTATGTATTTATGAGACACAGAATTTACCATAAAGGAACTGCAGGCATACAGGTAAATTAACTATTTTTACATGCCAAAAGATTTGTAATTTAGCACAGCCAGCTCTGCAATTTACACCGTTCTGCAAAAAGTACAATTTGGAGATCTCAGTTATGTACTTCCTTGCCCCAAGTGGTGAATGCATGGTGAAGGATCAGAAAAATATGAGTGTGCCAGTCAAGTTCGCTAGATGAACATGTGCTAACTAGGAACAGAGTACTGACCCGCCTTCTCCCAGTTTCAGTGCTGCTGTAAAGGCAATTACAAAAGGCTAATATGAATACCGATTTATTTTCAGCTTTTTGGGGCTTTTAGCAGGATAACCAAAGATCAATTTCAGGTGGAATATCATAGCTGGGCACATCAAGGGGGAGTAAGAACTCAGTGGGAATGCTTACCCCAATGAGAAAAGCCACATGCTAGCCGTTCTGGCAATTGTAAACCTCTATTCTACCCAGACCCACAAAGCCGGTAGCCAGGAGCCAAGGGTATGGCTGTTATCAAAAGCAAAGGGCCAAAGATAATTATTCAGCCACTACAATTTTAGCTGAATTTAAAATCAATTCTTTGTTTTTAGGTAAAGGTATACTTACATTTATGGGAAAAAAAGGTCTCCTTATATTTGTGGTCACATGGGGTGAGCAATAGTAGTTAGAAAAATGTGGAAAGGAGAAGCATAGGCTTTTTTGGCCCAATGCAGGGGCTGACTTTCTTCCATTTGTGCACACTTTATATAAACACAATGCACACTGGATAAGTGCCTGCCCACTCTTGAACTATTATGAAGTAGCTTCCTGGCACACTAAAAAGTTTAGGTATGTTACTTTGGGCACTGGAAATCAAGTGGCAGATATTTGGGTAGTCAACACTGCCCACCTAGAAGCACAGCTAGTTACGCGGCATACTGGAATATGCAGTCTGGATCACAAGCCTGAGACAGAGAAAAACCAAACCACCACAAGCACTATTCTGAAGTTTAAATGGGCACAGGAAGGGAGAATTTTATTGAAAATATATTTAGCAAGGTTTAATGACTTTTATATATATGACTTCTAGAAAATGAATGTTCGGAGATACATTTAGTGAAATTTTGCTGTATCCAGAGCTCAGATTTGACCACCAAGATCAAACTATCACCTGAGCTATGTGTTATGCTTGGACGTAACTAGAAATCACATGGCCTCAAAGTAAAATTTTGTATGGGCACAACCCCTCCCCTGGTCATATGTGGGTACTTACCTGCAGAACATGCTTCCGCTCTCGCGCCATCTTCTTCTCCTCAGCGTCTGCTGCCTCGGATGTCAGAGCCGAACACAAGCAGATGGGATCACTATGCCGCACTACATTGTGGCAGGGGACCTCAAGTTCCATGCAGTCGTACCCCATTTTTCACTTGCGGCCACACGGAACGTAAGGATACCTGCATCTCAACCTTCCCTCCTGCTTCTGACTGGGCCCCCCTCTGCCCTGGGCCCCATAGTGGCTGCATGGGCTGCTATGGTGGTAATTCTGCCACTGGTGTTCTCAAGTTAACTATTAGAATCTGTTTACTTGTAATGCAGTCTGTTACCTGCCACAGATGATCGGCCTTCCAATGTAACAATCACTGAGGAGCTTTCCAGAAGGTTTCTTGCCATGTGTCCCATCACTTTGTCAACTGTATCAATAAGTCCTGAAACTTCAGGATGAGCCTGCGAGAAAGCAAACTAAATTGTTCATTTGAAATGTTTGATTCTAGAGTTGTTGACTTTTTCACTTTTTGCTTTTATGTAACTGTATATACATAAATATCAAAGACTAGTTTGTTGTAGTAATAAACAATGGGGGTGATTCAATAAAGCAGTTGGAAAACTGTTGTTATGACTATATCTTGTCCTCAAGCAAATTCATGAAAGGTGTGCAACAGTTTTCTTGCTATTTCCAACGTGTGCAACAGATTCAGGTAGTAATAATGTGCAACACCTTAACATTCTACCACTTGGACAGCAACAAGCTCAATAAGAAATCCCACCATATCGGTGATAAGAAAAGTGGAGGTAACCAAGACATCTTCCATGTTAAATTGTGAAATTGTGTTGTACATGTAAGTATGTAAGTAGCAGACCAAATTCTGTCTGAAGTAATTTTGCAATATTGCATAGTTATATAGTTAGTCAGGCTGAAAGAGAGCCGCCCTCTGCTTCAGTTCTCCATCAGGTCCACCACTACTGATTGACAGGGCGGGTACAATAGCTAGTTTGCTATTGGCTATTGCAAATTGAAATAGCCAATAGGAATCTAGTAATGCATTCCTATGGCCAAAAAATTCCAAAAAATTTTTTTTTCTATTCTGACACGGCTCCGTGTCAGAATAAAGAAAAAAAAAGAAAAAGTAGTGTTTCTCTCCTTGGCGGCCTGGGAGCGCTCGGGAGAGTTTTTTTTCTTTTCTTTTTTTTGACGGCAGCAGAATCGCCGGCCAATAGAAAACAGTTGGGTGGAGCTAGCTGTCACTGCTAGCTCTGCACAATCGTTTTCTATTCATATTTTTCTACTTCCTAAACTAGTTTTCTGTTCTGCTCGGTACCACAGAGGGACCGAGCAGAACAGCCGAGCCAGCGGCTAATCAGCTGTACCAGCCTGAAGTGAAAAACCGAACAGCATTCGCCTCACTTTGCTTTAGGTCGGTCATTCACTCGGCTGCCTACGGCAGCTTAGTGAATGGGCCTGTTAGTGAGAGATCAGAGATGATTCAAGTCTAACTTGACACAGCTGTAAAATTCTTTAAATGATTTAGACATTTCAAAGCTAAAAGCAATTTTTAACACACCACATTAGTGAATAATGTGTGTTTCATTATTAATGCCCAAAGTTCACAATGATAAAGTGAATCTTAACCATATGCTCTGTATCGGAGAATGAGAAGCTACCTTTTGGGTTTATTGAGCATGCACTTCATTCTTGATATTCTACTGGGGTTATGTGCCTCCCAGGCAGCTCTTCATGGATAGAGGACTTATTTAACCAAAAATGATATACTACTATAATTAGTATAGAAACCAATGTGGTTTCTTTAATTAAAAAAAAGTTTCCTGATAAACATTAAGTTACTTTGCATGTCTTAAACTCTAAAAGAATGCTCATGATAATTCTATACAATAAAGTGACACTTAACCCAGGATTTAAAACTTAAAAATGCATTCAAGTGCCTTAAAATGTATGTTATTTGTGTATCACTCAGCTGTAGATCCTCAAATCATCTCTGAATTGGTGCTGACACTGTCCTTCCTTCTGGAGGGTGGCTACTTTTCTTCCCCATGGTCCCTGTGTGTGTTGTAAAGTTCCCACTGCTCCAAGCTCACTACCGTGATGGACAACAATCTCAATACAAATTAGTAAACTAAATGCTCTGTCTGACAGTACCACAGGAGTGGCTGGTGATGGAATGCAGAGAATGTTCCAGCACCTGGCACCCCATTGTATGAAAAAATAAAAATGTAAATATAAAAAGCTCATTAGAAATATTTAATTTTTTTATTTGTCAATGTTTTGTATTGATCTCTGTGTGTGCACACGGACCTTTCCAAATGGCACAGGTTGCAGGCAATACTTCTCAAATTATACTATATATATATATATACACACATATATATATATACACACATACACACAAATATATACAGTATATGCCAATACATGACATATTGCTACATCCTGCTGTCACTGTATTTTGAGCAATACCTTATATTAAAAAAATATGTCTTTCAGAAACAATAGAGGTAATTAATACATACCGAATAATTAAAAAATATATACATTTTTAAATAAGAAATATTTCAGAAATTATAAAACAGTTGGGTGTACTTACTGATGGTACATCAGTCCAAGTAGGCAGTGACAGGACCTCTTCTACAGTTTTCAGAAAGGCCTAGAAAAAAAAAATAATACAGCTACTGAAATTATTCTAAGTCTTATATAAGACAAATGTTTTCCAGCAAACTATTGCCCAAGCAAAGCTTACGCCTTGCAGGAAATACATACATCCTCAGCATTAAAGTTCTGGTTTTATGCCTACTTAGTTTATAGGTATATTACTTAACAGATTAATTATAATGGAAATATACATGGGAATGATACAGTGCTTCAATTAGGCCCTAACATAGGCCAATGAATCTACCATTAGATGTAGTGACATTTTAGTGCAGTTCTGCAGAATCGTCCTGCCTCTAAGATAAATCTCTTACACTAGTAAATGCACAAAGCTGCAAAGCATAAGAACTATTTTTTTATGTAGCTAAAAGCTTCTGTAGTATTTAATACCAGAACATGTATTAGAAGATAAGGAATGTGACTTTCAAAGGAGATATCGGTCATTACATTTACGGGACACGGAAGAAGAGTAGACAGCACTTGTACATGTATATTAGGTGTGTGTTTCATTGTATATTAGGGTTGAAATACAGTATTATGGGTGAGAGTATAATATTTTAGATGACTTACAACATGTCCTTGGGCACATAGATTTACTTCATCATTTATAAGGTAGCAACACCAGAAAACGTTGTCCTGATACAACTTGGAATACAGTTTTCTCAATTTAGGGGCCTGTTCACACCAGTTGTGTCAGGCTGTGTCAGGCAATCCTAACACATAGACAAGGCAAATTGCCATGTTTACAATGTGGCCAGTTCACTCCACCACGTTGTGGTGGTGTCTGCTGAAAAAGTACATTTTTTCATTGCAGCGTGTTGCGAGTACACCACATCATAACACACTGCAGTGAATAGAACTGAATGAAATATCACTCTGTGACATTTCAATAAAGTTGGTTGGGAAAAAAAGGTTACAGTGCAATGCACTGTTTTCAGGACATCAGCACCACCCCTGACACAGCTGCTGTTGCAAACAAGCCCAAAGGTTTAACTGAACTGTGCAAGCTGCACCCAAAAACAAGTAGGGCACCAGCATAGTCAGCTGTATTGCTTTCCAAGTCTCCCTGGAAATTATCTTTTCCCATTACTGGCTTACCATGCTGTGTTCTGCTCTGTGTCTCTGAGTGGAGGCAGCCATCTTGGTAGAGGCAGGGCTTTGCTGTCACATGTCAGAGCCTCCATCAAGGAAAACAACATTAAGGACATCGCCAAATTTCACTCCAAATCTGGTCAAACTAAAAGTGGGAGGCAGCAGTGTTTTAGATCTCATACAGCTAGGAGGTTGTAGGCACAGGAGTGCATGGGAACCCTCACATGTTAGGCAATACACTGCTATTTTTCAACAGGAATTTCTGACAAACGGTAGATTATTCAGGGTACTACTTAGGCACATTCAACATTGTTCCCTATACCAAAGCAAATCTTCACTTTTTGAGTTCAGGTCCACTTTTCCAACTTTCCTGCATCTCAAGAAACTGAAAAGAAATGCAAAAATGCCCTGTCTCTCTCAGCAACCACTAGCTGAGAGATTGATCAGGCTGTTGCCAATGATTGTAAAGTTAGTGGACCGCTTCTCAATATTAAAGTAGAACTCCAGCTTTACAAATATATGCATAATTACATTTTAGCTTGGTACAATGTAAGTATATACTGTATACTGCCATGTTAAGCAACTTCCCTGTGCTGTTAAAACTCAGAGGGGCGAATTTATAAAAACTGAAGCAGACAAAATCTGGAGCAGCTGTGCATGGCATCCAATCAGCTTCTCTCTTCAGTTTCAGGCTGATTGGTTGCCATGCACCGCTGCTCCAGATTTTGTCTGCTCCAGTTTTGATAAATTCCCCTCTGAGTATAGAGACCATTTAGAAGATGCCTAATATTTTTCTCAATGAATAGTAAGGGGGGATTACTCACAAAGCTGCCGAAGGCAGCCGATCCGCCCAGCTGCGTGAGTGACAGCTGGCTCTGCCTATCTAGCGGCAGAGCCAGCTGTACCCGCCCCCTCCCCCATCCGTTCCGCCAGTCAGCGCTTGTCACAGGTCGGCTAGAACTATGAGGTGAGTGAAAAGCACTCACCTCATATTTCTCCTTTACATGTTCACACAAATGTTCGCTCACAGGGGTTTCTCCAACAATTTTACACAGCTTCACTTGTCTCAGCAAAATCACAGTTGTCAAAGCCTCACCGACTCCATGTTATCGCTTTAGCAAAACGTCTGCCACACAGGCTGTATGCCCCACACTGGCCACACAGGCTTGTTCTCCTCACTTTGCCACACAGGCTGGTTCCAGGATGGAGCCTTCCTGACTCCTGGACAGACACTTCCTGTCTCCCAGCTGGAACCCTGAACATCAGCCAGCAGCCTTTTCATAAGGGCTGTGCACAGGTGCACACTCATTGGGCTCTAGTCACTACTACAGCCCGGACACAGGAATGGAGATTTCAGCCCTCCCAGTTCTCTTAAAAACTTCCTGGCTCCAGGATCCCAACTATAATCCAGAGAACCCGGAAAGAATTGTAAAGCCAGCTCTTTCCTGGTAAAAGTACTCGTGTCCTGGTACTGCTCAGCCCCTCTGGCTGAGAGTCCTGGGTGACCCTGATACCACCTTATACTGTGGTATTGCCACGCAATGCCACAATATATATAC